GCCTTAGGAATGTACCTCAACAGATGGGAAGCCTTGACGTCTGAGCATCCAGCCTGGAGGCAGGCGGTGCATCATGGCCTCTTCCAATTTGAAGAGACACTTTTACAGCAGGCTGAGGCAAAGAGGCAGTCCCGAAACAAGCAAAACCAGGCAGCTGGAAAGGGGACAGATTGCATTTGTCTTCAATGTAGAAGAGATTGCCACTCTCGAATTGGCCTTCTCAGCCACACTAGACACTGTTCCAAGACCTCCATACAGAGCACGTTGCCATAGTCTCTCGAGACTGAAGGATGCCTACATAAAAATAATCTGAATTGATTTCTCCCATTCCCATCCATTTTAGTTCACTGATGCCCAGGAACCGTTAGCTGGATTAAATTTTGGTATCTGTTTTTATCAACAAAGAAGAACCTGTCACCCCCCCCCACACACACACACACACTCCCAAGATTTCAAATTTAGTTTTCTGTTTCCATTTTAATTATTATTTTGTTGTTTAATGTCTGTTTTGTACTGTTTTAGTGCCTTCAGTTTTATTTATTATTCCTATGACTGCTCAATTTTAATTGTATGATTTTAAAGCTCCAGTAAAAACCTTTATTTAATAAAAATACAGTATGTTCTCTGTGTAGCTTCTGTGGCCAAAATGCAGTTTTTCCAATTCTCCTAAACCATGTTCTCTCCCCCGCCCTGGTACTACTTTCCTTGTCTTGCTTTGTTTATTTATTTCAGTTATTTTAAAAGACTCCCTGAGTCTTAGGGGAGAAAGGGACATTTTTGCCATGTTGGAGGAGGCCAACAGCACCCCAAGCTCCCTCTACACAACTCATTTTCATTTTTTATGTGTTTGAATACTGGAAGGTGCACTGAGGCTTTTGAATCCCCCTCCCATTTTTCAGTAACATCTTCCTATTCCTATAAGAATATTTTTGGGAGAAAGTCATGGGTGAGGTTCTCCAAGGGATAGGAATGTGACACTCCCAGAGCTCTGGAGAATGCCCATCTCAAGCTAAAAGATCTTAAAGAAGTGATTAAATTATACCTGTTTTAGTTTTAAAAAGACCCTATCAAATGTACTTTGTGGGTTAGTGAATGATACTGTAGAGTGCTGTTAAACTCCACAATTTGTCTGAAATACTATAGCATAACTTACACTCATGGATGGGTGATGACATCAATAGCAGGGAGCAATTTCTTGTAATTAGAAACTTCCTACTTCTGTCCTGTAGCTTTTCCACTTCCTGTGTAATTACATTCATTGTGTGGAAGCCATAGGATATAAAGGGGAAGTTTTTAATTGCCAAAAATTGCCACTGGATGGCATTACTACAGGAGATTAAAGACTCCTTCGTTCTGTCCTGCAGGTCCCATGGCTTTTGTAGGATGAAAGGGATTACACAAAGGTCAGAAAAGCCATGGGACAAAGTAAGACGTTTTTAATTACTAAAAATTGCCTCGAGCTAGTGATGTCATTACCATTCCACAGGAGTAACATGCAGTAGTATTTCAGCCATCCGGAGTATTCTATAATCTGGTTTTAAAAATGATTACTAAAGGGGTATATTGCTGTTCTGTACCTCAATTCAATTAATAGGATTTTCAAGGTAAGTAAGATATTTGAGAAGTGTTTTTATCATTTCCAGTCCCCCATGTCTGAGTGAGCATTCAAACCTGGATCTCTTGAGTCCTAGTCCATCATTCTAGCCACTGCTCCACCCTGAGTATAGATGAACTAAAATAAAAGTATGTAGAGCATGAATGGCAAATGGCAATTCTGGACTGGAATTTAGGGGTTACAAAATGGGCAATGCTGTAGTCTTCCGCCATTTTACACCTGAGAGTCAGACATTTACAGCCCAAGTGTGCATTGGAAATCTGTTCTGTGTTTGATAGTAGTAGTTTTGAATGTCGCTTTAAAAAAGCAATCAGTTATAACTACAGTTCAGCATTCCCACAATTCAGCTGTGCCACACTTACTTGTTATAGTTGCTTGCAATATTTAAAAAAGCAACACCTTTCTTTTTTGTTTCTCAGAAATGACTACATTTTTAGTTCTTTTTTTAAAAAAAACATGCATGTGAATGTTACAAAGTTGCTGACCTCTTGGTAAAACACTATTTTCTCATCCATTTTGTTCTTATTTCAGCACAGACTGCAAGCAATGCTTAAACCATGTGCTATTCCACATTCACCATTTAGTGAGGCCTCACCCTTGTACCTGTAAAAACTGCCATCTACTCCATAACCAAAAACAGATCACATATTTTCTGCATATACACAGAAATCTTTCACAAGCCTCAGACCTCTAAAACTCTTTTGTCTTCAAGATGTTACTAACTGCTTAGGTAGAAAAATCTAAGAATTTGAGGAGGGAGAAATATTGCAACTACAGTTATCTTTTGGGTGGATGGGTGGGGGAGAATGGGAGGAAATAGGGTGGCACTTCCCCCACAATACTGGCTTTCTTTTAAATGAGGGAACGCAAGGTCTTCCAGATGTTACTTGGCTGTCCCAGTTAGACCTAACTCACATATAGACCATGGCAAAGATCAGTGCAAATTGTAGTTCAGCAACAGCTGCATGACTGTTAAGGTAGACCAGTGGTTCTTAACCTTTGTTACTCGGATGCTTTTGAACTGCAACTCCCAGAAACCCCAGTCAGCACAGCTGGTGGTGAAGGCTTCTGGGAGTTGCAGTCCAAAACTCCTGAGTAACCCAAGGTTAAGAAACAGTGAGGTAGACCTTAAGAAAGTAGATTGTTACACAAAGGAATTGGCTTCTAATAGGTAATGTAACATATTTTGTCTTCTAAAATGTGCTTTTATGTTGTTTTAAATTGCTTTTATTTCAGAAAAGCTGTGCCATGTTTAATTTTTCTGTAACATATTTAAGTTTAAAAATATTTTAAAACATTGGAATTTATAATTTTTAAAACTGTATTTATAATATTTCCTTTAAAAAATCACAAGTTACCTCAGGTCTCTGTATTGAGAGAAAGATAGAGCATAAATACAGCAGATATTCCACACTGTGGCTATGGGTTGGAAGCAAGTGGGCTGCTTTATCTATCTATCTATCTATCTATCTATCTATCTATCTATCTATCTATCTATCTATCTATCTATCTATCTATCTATTTATTTAACATTTATATCCCACATTTCCTCCAGTGAGATCAAGGCAGTCTACCTTCCAGTTCTTTCTCCCACATTAGCCTAATTAACAAACCTGTCAGGTAGGTCAATTTGAGAGATTGTGATTGGTTCAAATTCACCGACTGAGTTTAATTCCTCAGAAGGGTAGGAAACCCAGGTCTCCTTAGTCCTATTTTAACCCCTCTACCACATGTGTTCAAGATCCTGGATTTGGGCAGATAACCTTTCTATGTCTGAAAGCTAAAAAAGAAAGGCACACATTGATAACGATGGGCCACCAGGTGGGTGGGTGGGTGTAGGAGGAGACACAGGTGTCCCTGGGCAACCGCCAGCATCCCTCGCCTTGCCTCAAAATTTGGCTGCACTAGTGTAATGTCAGTGGTTGCCTAGCAACAGCCACACTCATTTTCTCCCTCCCTCAGAACAGACCACCTGTTTAAAATTTGAGCATTTTGGTTTTTATCTTTGTGGTAGAAGAGAAGGTAGCAAATATTTATCTGATACAAGTTCCTGTCAGGAAGAAGAAATTAGTAGACCATTCCAAGATTACAAAGAAGGAGCTGCCTGGAGAAACACATATGTGCCTCTTTGCACCTAAGGAGAAGACAGCTTTAGAAAAGGGAAAGTAACTATAGCCGGGACTCTTGTTGGCAGCGTGAAATCCATATCATTTTTCCACCACAGTCTTTGCCTTAAATTTTAGGTTACTCTTGCCTGAGGCAGAGTGCGAACTGGGAAATGCTGCTACGCATCCAGTCAAACTGCACTGAAAGATTAATGGTCTCATGTGTCTCAGTAAAATCCCTAGAGCACCACTTTCCACCTCTGCTCAATAATAACAAAGTATGTAAACAAACATAATTGTACGTACATAACTAAGAATTTGCTGCCTTTTCATGGCACCCATAATTAGCTGCCTGAGATGACTGTTTCACTCTGCCTAATGGTAGGGATGGTCCAACAGCACGCCTAAACAGGTAGTTTAGCACTCTCCATTTCCTGTCAGCCTAATTCTGATAGTGAACTGGGCTTGCTCCCCAGCCCAGCAGAGTTCAGTGAAAGAAAGGGGAGATTGAGGCATTCCTTCATATGTTTAGTTTTCTTTATTAAAAGACAACTTTCTGTGTTACTTCAGAACAAATTATTCACATGTTGACCAGATGCATCTTGTTTGTCCTTCAGATAAAACATGTCCCCTGTCTTTGAAGGTTGTTATGAAAATGAAGGAGATGAGAAACGTCTCCTTTGGCAGCACCAGTTCTGAATGTTGAGGATAGATATCCTAAATGATTTCCTACTCTTTGAGATTGTTCATGGATGGAAGGTACTGCCACTGGAAGCTGAAGACTTGAGAAGCCCCCATGAAAGTGTATTTGGTCACGTATGAATACTGTGTCCTGCAAGTGGTTTACAGACAAATGAAGAATATAAACTTGTGCGTACGTATGTGCATGTGTGCATGCATGTATGCGCGCAGTCCTCCAGATTTTGAGTGAGCTGCAATTTCTATCAACCTTCTCCACTGCCTGTGCTGCTACGACTGAAGAGAGTTACAGTCCAACATCCAAAGGAGAACAGATTCATCATCTCTAATCTAAACTATACTATTAAAACATTATAGACATATTTAAACAAATATGTGGCTGGATATACATTTTTCTTGATAGCAGCAAAATGTTGTTGAAACTTCAAAATCATTATGCTCCTAAATGACAACTCCTTTTATTACACAAGAGCTGCAAAATATAAAGACAGATTGGCATCAGAAATATACAGTATGTTCAAAAATATTTCTGTATAAAAATAAAACACACTAAAATAAGAAATTAATACATATTAATTGGGGTTTTTTTTTACTAGCAGAAAAACTATGAGGTACCAAAATTTTTCTTTTCAAATTACCAGTGCCAAGAGAACTAAAAAGCATTTTAGGTAGCTACTGCTACTTAAATACATTAGTCAGAAAGCAAATAAGAACAAATTGTAACAGACAAACCTGTTTGTTAAAATTATTGCACGCATATATGTGATATAATGACAGTGCACCTACATATGCATAGACTCAAGATGTCAGTTATTTTCAGTAGTTTGAATAACAGAAAAAAAATCCCCTGTCCTTATGTATGTCTCAAATATATTTAAATACCACATTTTAATTTCCCAAAGCAATACTTGTACTTTTGCTTATTTTGTGATGTATAACAAAACAAGGCATTCTTTCCAACAGAAAGTTAAGGGGTTTGGTAGTTATTGATGTTATTTACTGTGGTCCCTATTGGATTCAATATCTATATACGTATGTGCAAAAATCCCACATCACCTGCACCTTGGACAGATCACCACAGTGGCTTCCACAGTTGGGAATTCCCCCTGTATGAATGTTGAACAGGTATTGCAGCCCACTGTGATTTTGCTCAGAAAAAAAACTTCATACAGGATTAGCAACTGACCAGTTATGTTTTTACATCAAAATGTTTACACATGCTTTTACCAGTTTTAACTTCATAAACACATTTTATAAAAGGGAACGTATTGTAGTAGTAGTACTCAGTGATGCTTCAAAGTATTACAGTGATATTCCATTTGAACAAAAGTGTTCCAAGTAGTGTCAGGAGTCTGGCAGTAGTTTCTGCAATCCATTGTCACTGTTTAAAGAACTTCAATCAAGCGTCACCCTCTACTATTCCTCTCACTGTAGGGTGTCTTCAAAAGTTGCCATAATGTCACTTTGAAAATTAATATCAATGATGCCTGCCTGCTGTATTAAAAAACATCAGAATTGGAGACAGACATGTTAGTTGCAATCCTGTAGACAGTTACTTCCAAGACCAAGCTAGATGGCAGATTTCTTTTAAGAGAGGTACTCCCCCAGATGGTGAAAAATGCCTCTCATAGCATATGACTTCATCCATACATATAATATATTAGGTATGCTTTGTATTGTGGATGTTCACTGAAAGGTGAACACCTGTTTAATTTGAAAATCCGATTGCTAAAGCACACATATCTGACAATTTATTACCAAAGGAGAAACAGGCTGATAAGTAGGGGAATATTTCCCTTAACGTCTGGTTGGTTGGTATCGAGTTAAGATGGCAGTTCATCTTCTACGTAATTGTATATGCTGAAGAGAATCATTATGACTATGGATGAAACTACAGTTACAAAACGTTTAACTTCCCCATCAGAAATTTCTAATTAAATGTGTCCTATGACCAAATCATTATAATGTGCATTTCCTCACACTTGGCATACTTATAGTATGTCACTAATGTGACATATATTTTTCATGCTCATTTTTATTCACCTTAGTCTCTTTAGATAATTTAAGCCCATTTACTTAATTCATAATATAAATAAGCTACTGGAACAGATCCTCAGCTGTTGCATTGTGTTTGGTGACTAAAACTGTTTTAAGTTTTAGTTACTTACTGCTTCCCTCCTTCGGCGTTCTTGCTCCATTTTTCTTGCCAGGGTACGGTCCGCAACAACATTTGGTGTCTCTCCTTTTGCAGGTGAACAGTTAGTTTTTACTGCGATGCATCTCAAATGTATTTTGTTATTGTTTCTTTAAAAAAAACGCAGTAGGTCTCATATCTTTCTGGGTTCAAATAGGCAGATTTCTTATTTGAATGAATAAATGTGATCGCTAAACTGTGATTCACAAATGTGCCACAATGAAATGAAATGTGTCTTTAAAGAATGAGAATACTATGCATCTATCATTCTATGCCTTTGGAACAGAAGGGTGCCATGAAGCATCAATTCCTTCACCCATCTACTACCACCCACACATAGGCAGTAATTCTGAAAGAAGAGCATTAAGGATACCTTGAAGTACCTCTCAGGACAGCTGAAATAAATGCAAAAATCTTAAAATTGCTTTCACTGTGATCCAACCCTGATATATGACCAATTGAGGACTCTGTAAAGCAATACAAAATACCACTGGGGTGAGGTGCTGGATAATATTTATACCTAAATCATTTAAACAAAACAATGAATGGGCTATTTTACTTTGCAAGGAGGGGATTCCTCATTGTTCTCCTAACCAATTTAGTATATTATTGCTCAACTGATCTCAGATCTCTAAATGGAACATACGTAGTTCACACCATAATGCTACTGAAGATGAGATGGAGAGAAGCAGTGCAGGGCACCGTCTGGTGTGGAAATGCCGCACTGGATTAGAAGCCCTGTGGGTGTTATTCAAAAGTGTTAGTGATAAGCATCCTTTTAAAAGAAAGTATGATTAATGTGACATGTGCTTAGGTCCTTAGCTTCTTCCTCAATGTTTGCACATGTTGTTTTCCCCTGGGTGGAAAGCAAGTATAACTTACTGCTAATGATTATTACTAATGTCCTTGCACATCATCTCTGTTCACTTGTGAAGCTGGTAATGTAAAAATCACAGGTTGGGCCTATTTGTCCTAACACACACATGTCTTTAAGTGTAGAACAAACTGTGCCTTAAATTTTATAAGCAGAGATTAAAACATTACTGGATTAAAACATTTGGGTTCCCCAAATTCTGGGGATTTAGTTATTTTTTCCAGAAATGATATCACATGGCTATATCTATGGGCAGTTTGGAAAGTATAATATTTTGTATTATTTTATATTTCATTAGCAAAGAGACAGTTGCAGCCTTACTATAAAATGGCATGTTTGTTCCTAATCAGTCCCATTGCACTGGTGTAGTAGAAATACAGACACATAAAAGGAAAAAAAAGGATAATCTTGAAAAGGATATTCAACAACTGTTGTTATTTTACCAATAGGATGACTTGCTGTTGGCATTCATTATTTCCCCTCAAGTAAGAATCAGCATCACACAATCAGAAAACATCTGTTAGAAATCTCTCAATATGCTTTTAGTGAAACAGACATGTAAAATGCACTCTTTCAATTTAATACAAACCCCTCTTTTTCCTGAGGGAGGTTTTTCAGTTTCTTCTCAGCTTGTTCCAATTCCCTTTTTCGTTCCTTTGTCCATTTACTTTCTTCTTTTTCCAGTGCTGCTTTTTGAAACTGCCTGAAGCTTTCACTGGAGGATTTGATAATGACTGGAGCACGTATCATTTTACCTAAACTTGTCCAGGAATCTGCATGCTTTACTTTTATGTCCTGCAATTTTAAAACAAAGACACTGGTTCTAAACAGAAGCAGATGAAAACGAATTTTTACAATACCAAAGAGTAGGTAGAATATATATTTTTAAAAGTTGTTATCATGATGCCATCTCGCCAGGGATCAGAAGGGTGGCCGGAAGTGTAGGAGGAGCCAGACACAGTCTTTTGCACCTTTGGGAACAACAAGCCCTTAAACTCTTTCAAAACCCCTGGAAAGGGGAATGGGTCAGCTTTGCTCCAGAGAGGAGCTATGATGGGGGAACACCCATATTCCACTTGCCAGGACCCTCGCAAGTGCATCTGAACCATCTTGTGGTGCTTTGCCATTGGAGGCCCATGCTAGCTCAGATGAGGCACTAGAGACATCAGTGACGGCACTAGAGGCTCTTCCAGCTGGCTCAGGAGAGAAAGGAACAGCTTCAGTGGGAAGGACCCATACAGTATTGGCCTAGCACTACCATCCATGGTTAAGAGCTTGTTTTGAGAACAGCCTCAGCTGCAGACAGAAGGACGCAGGGAGCTACTCAGAGAATTAATGAGCAACAGAGAAATACACATTTTCATCCCATTGAAAAAGTCATAAATTATAGCCATTGCCCCAAAAAAGATCATTCTACTTCATATGCGAAAAGTAATGTTTCCAAAGAAATGGGTTACTTTTGAGCTGTGTCACTGAGGTAGTGACAGCTCTTAGTCATCATAGTTCATGTACATTAATTAATTTATTTATTTGATTTATATCCTGCCATTTTCTACAAACTGGGACACAATGAGGTCATTTCCCATCCTCCACCCCATGATTTTTTTAGAAGTATACAATTAGGGTGTACCCCCTGAAACAGAGGCTCTTTGCAGATGTTGCCTGCCTTCAAGACATCTCTTCTTGCCTCCTCTTTGCATAAGAATGGCCATATAATGCAAGTATGGTAGAATGGTTACAGTATTGGACACCTGGGTTCAAATCCACACTCAGAAATGAAACTCATTAGGTGAGCTTGGACCAGTGGTATTCTGTCAGCCTGACCTACCTCACAGGGTTGCTGTGAGGATAAATTGGAGAGGAGGAGAACCAGGTAGGTGGCCTTGAGCTCACTTAAGGAAAGGCATGATAGGTATGAAACAAATAAATAATAAACAAAGGAAGCTATATCATTCCTCTACATTTTATGTTGGATAAACTGAACAGGGACAGTCCATTCTCAGAAAACAGGTGTCTACCACACATAGCCTCTTCCTCTGGTGATTCTATTCATGCAAATAAACTCCATGGACTGTATCATTCTAAACTGTTCACGATGGGCTACAAGACTATTGTCTAATTCAGAGCAATTAGTTCCTGTACATACCCTGTTTCCCCTAAAATAACCCCTAACCTGAAAATAAGCCCTAGTATGGTTTTTCAGGATGCTCATAATATAAGCCCTACCCCCCAAATAAGCCCTAGTTAAGTGAAACCCCGCCCTCCACTATTGTGCAGCATTGTGCAGCAACCAGAAGATGACATGACTGTAAAATAAAACATCCCCTGAAAATAAGTCCTAACGTGTTTTTTGGAGCAAAAATTAATGTAAGACCCTGTCTTATTTTCAGGGAAACACAGTATTTATATATTTCTTTCCAATTTAAGCACAAACACTATGATCAAATGAATTTGATTATAGTGTATCCCAACATTTGTGGCTGTGAAATCCATCACCCATACAAACCCTTTGCATTATAGCATTCTATTACCTTCCCATTTCTTGCTAAACGTTTAGTCAATGGTTTGTGTTGAAATAATTGTTAGTTTGTCCTAAGGGATGTTTGCTGGATATGTCTTTTTATATCACAAAAGTTAGATTAATTAGTTTGGCAATTTTGAGTATGTAACAATGAGTCATTTCACCGTGATAATCACATACTCACATTGCTTGAATGATTGACGGCTATGTCACTTTTCATGCACATTATTGTTGATAGGTGAAACATGCATTTTACAGACAGTAACTACGGACTAATTCAAAGCATGTCAATGAAAACAGCTATCTTTATTCATCTTAGCCATCTACACATACTGCCATTTGTTACAGAAACTCCTATAGTTTTTGCAAATCTGACTACAAAAGGTTCTCTGCTTTTAGACAGCAACATGTCATAGAAAAACCATCCTGGAAGGCATCACGTTATTACCTTTGCTAAAGGAATCTGAGGTTTCATAGCTCTTTTTTTCCCCCTCTCACAGTTACCAGAACAGCTTGCTGGAACACTGGCATGTGCAGAATCTGTCATATGTTGCTCACCCGGGCCATCTGGAAAGCTACTCTCTAGTTCTGGAATGTAAATAGAACCAACAACAAGGTAGTGGGTTGTGTGTGTATGTTTGGGGGGGGGAGTGCAGAGTAGTAAACATTTTTGTTAAATAATTTTTTTAAAAAGATTAAAAATTGTACCTGATTTTTTTTAAACTCAGCCCCTCTTATTAGCCTGGATTGTTTCTACTTTTCAATCTTAGGAAGGTTTTATTTGTCCCTTGTTTACTTTTCACAATTTTCAAGTGAGCAGAAGGGAAAAAACTCCCCATGTGGATACAGTTTTCTATTTTCAGAAGCCTGCTTGAGTGTAGGAGATACACATTTTCCATTACTCATTTCCTGCTCCCTCCTCCCATTTTAATAGGGCCCACTTTTTCTCCTCTGATGCTCTTTCCCAAGTTCCCTAGAGAAGGGAGAGGAGCCTGTTACTAAATAACTTTGCATTTGGGGTAAAGTTTTCCACAATGTCTGCTTCCACCTTCTCTGAATAAATATGTCAGCCCCCAGTTAATCCAATTCATGACATATCTTCCCACTTCAGTTCCACCAGGTCGTAGGTCCAAGATAGTTACAGGTTATACGCCCTGAGCAGTTATATCATTTTTTTAAAAAAAATTATTCAGATACCATAATTTCTGGAATGTGTTTTAAATCATGAATTACTTCTGTTGTAAGTATGGCAAAGCCTTCTATGCTGCAAAAAAAAATCTTTTAAAAAAGAAGCTGTGTGCTCCTCCTTCACAATTCTTTTCAGAAAATTCTATTCATCAGATACATTTTTGGATCAACAATTTGTTTCAGTAGTTAACACCAGTGCAGTTGTTTGTAGAGCTGTTAGAGCTAAATAATTAAACACTATATCTAAGGTAGCCTTTCCTCACCCTTATATGCATCATGGCTGCTTAAAAAAAACTTGCTTGTGGTCACTTTCCCAAGGCAAGCCATTGGTCTGAATTTGTAGCCAGAGACAGATTTAGCTTTGGCACACTTTGAGAAGCTCCAAGAAAACACTGCTTCTCAAAACCTTTCTGGGAAAGCATATGTTGTATATATTGTATTGGATAATGCAGAACTCTCGTGCACAAAGGAAGCTTTTCGTTGCTTCCTCTCCAGTGTTTACAGGGCTAAACACAGTACAGGGTTAGGAAAACAAGTGAAACTTTGCCAGAAAAAGAATTAAGTGAATAATTGGGAAGTTCTGGCTCACTTCAGCCAAAACTACTTAAAACTCTTCTTCACACTTCAGCTAAGGAGGCACTGAATGTAGGGATGTTCCAGGCTGTAGTTGCAGGTGCTGAGGATTAACAACACCCTATTCATCTTCAGCTTTCTCACACTCCTGCAAATGCCTGGCATTAGGTACGTACTATATACTGTATATATAGGCCTAGCTGCCTACTTTTAAATATATCATGCATATGGATTCTGTAGTGTATGTCACCATTCAGGTGAGTTGGATGTTTTTGACAGCTTGTGAATAAAGTATATCTTGGTGAAACCAAAAATATATAGTAGGTCCTATTTTTTCAATGAAATAACACTGATTCCAAACAACTTTCTATAAAGCTAGCTAGGGAGGAAAGCCGCCTCTGCCTAATTTTGTAGACAGTTATTTGGAATCTGTGTGTTTCATTGCCTTGCTACTGTCTCAAAGCCAGGTACAATTAATCCATACAAGGATTCATATAGCACTCTGGAAACTGAATCTTTAGGTTAAAATCAATGAAGATTCAGATTAAATCTAAAGGATAACAATTTGTTTTCACTATATATTTTCATACGGTTGGGGTTGGTTTCTTTGAGTAATCCACATTCCATGAATTCAATAGCAAACCTATAATTCATTTAAATCAATTTTGGATTACAACTTGTTTTCCCTGTTAAGGGTAAAGGTAAAGGTTCCTCTTGACATTTAGTCCAGTCATGTCCGACTCTAGGGCGCGGTGCTCTTCCCCGTTTCCAAGCCATAAAGCCACCGTTTGTCCATAGACAGTTTCTGTGGTCACGTGGCCAACACAACTAGACACGCAACGCCATGACCTTCCCTCCGTGGTGGTACCTATTTACCTACTTGCATTTTTACATGCCTTTGAACTGCTAGGTTGGCAGGAGCTGGGACAAACGACAGGAGCTCACTCCATCACATAGATTCGATCTTATGACTGCTGGCCTTCCGACGTTGCAGCACAGAGGCTTCTGCAGTTTAACATGCAACGCCACCATGACTCTTTCCCCCTGTTAAACAGCAGTTTAAATGAAAAATGACAGTTCTGCTCCCCACAATAAATTGCTTACCCTACAGATTGTGTGAAATTTTACTTGGATAAACCAGCAGTAACAGAGTACCTTTTGTATTCTTTTATGTGAGCTAGAATGTTCACAAACATTAGGTATGTACACCAGTTCCATGAATATTCTTATTACCAGAATGTGCACTTTGCTCTTGATTAATAGGTTTTGCTTCAGTAGTTCCCGAAGAAGTTTTAGTACAGAGAGGAGGTTGTTGTGCCTGATGTAATACTGTTGTTTTCCCAGTTTCTTTGGTATCACTCAGTGGGATATTTGAGGAGGAGGAATATGACACCTGTAGAACAATTTGAAGTTTTAAGGAAAAAAGAATTCAAGAGCCTTGCACAGCTACTTGCCCCATGGTGGTTTTGCCAGCCAGAACTGTCTACTACTTTGTACTTTAGTCCATTTCTTATTGTATGTTTTACCCACTATACAGAAAAAACAAACTACCAACTTTGTCACGGAAAAAAGATGAAGTCTGAAACATCTTTAACACTGCGTAAAGCTGTTTGTTACATCAGTTTCTGCAAAATTGAGTTTTAAGATATTAAGTGGTTTTCTTCCAGAGTTCAGAAAAACTGCTTCATTTTATTACAAATCTCAATGGCCATTTTGGCTCAAATACTCTAGGATATGTAGCCTCTTCAAAATAAGCTCTGCTTTTACCTTGTTCTCCCAAAAATCCTGGGAGATTTTGGAGAGTTAACATTCTCTCACAGCACAGTGGTTAAACTGTAGTACTGCTGCCCAAAATCTGCTCATAACCCGGGTTTAATTTCAAGTAGCCAACTGGAGGTTAATTCAGCCTTCCATCCTTCCAAGGTCAATAAATTGAGTGCCTAGCTTTCTGGGGAGGCAATGTGTACCTTGCATAATTAAATTGTAAACTGCCCAGTTATCTGGAAGTTGAGTCATGGCAACTGGATTTCTTTCTTATTAGGTTGAAATGTTTCGCTACTCAGCCAAGAAGCTTCTTCAGTCAACCAACTCTCTTCAGACTGAAGAAGCTACTTGGATGAGTAGCAAAATGTTTCAAGCTAATAAGAAAGAAGTCCAGTTGCCATGACTCAACTTCCAGATAAGTGGAACCTGTAAGAATTTAATGCTTTTTCTTAATTATGTCAAACTTGATTACCGTAGTTATTAATACCAAACGGAGTGGAGAGACAATAGGCTGGATCCAAAGAGTTCCTTTTTTCTTCAGAGGAAGTCCCTCATGTTGGAAGAAGGGAACTTTTGGACTGAAGTAATTTTCAGCCATGGAAACAGGGAATATAAAATACATTAACCAATAGTCTTCCATGAATGCAAACCACTGAAGTTAACAAGTTTTAAATTGTGTGATAAAACCAGTTGATAAGTGAAACAGTTGCCCCATCACAGAATGTAATTGATGATATTCACCTCTGAAAGTGTATGAGGAGACAGGATAATAGAAGAGTGGGCTGTCACTAAGCCACCTGGAGTTGCTTCTTGAACTGGAGTGCAATGCAGAGGAGACACAATAGCCACTATATCTGCAAAGGGTGGGGAACACAGAAGAATGCCACTGCCTCTTTATATATCACCCAAATAACAGTTAGTATACAAAAAATGTCAGCTGAACAAACAGTCAAAGGAGGGAAAAATACACTTCCTCTGAAATAATTCTGGCTGGAATCTTGCTTGGAATTTTGAAAATGCATTTCTTAGGATTATGCACATGGTCCAGTGGCAAATTAATGTACCTGTTTGTTATGGCAAAAAACAAAGGTGTTTTGCAGCACCTAAAAAAATAAAGTTTTATTTGACGTCCATTTTGTGGACTTTAGTCCAGATACAGCCTCTGTGAATAAGATAAGGGAATGGGGTGGGGTGGAGAAATGAAATGCAAAGGAAATGCAGAAGATCCAATATGGTGATGGTCGCTTTGATCATTAAGGGTTGTTTATAGACCTTCGGAATGACAGGTAGAACCGCCATCTTAATGGTGTTTAAAAATGTAAAATGCAGAAGATCCAATATGGTGATGGTCACTTTGATCATTAAGGGTTGTTTATAGACAGGTAGAACCGCCACCTTAATGGTGTTTAAAAATGTATAAATTTTGAAAAGACAACTAAGACACCAAGACGCAAAAAACAAATAATTATAAGTAGCCCGTGTAATATGATGTTTAACAAGCACGAATTGAATGTAGATAGACTGAAAAACTAATAAAATGTTTTTTGAAAGAAATCTATATGAGGAAACTGAAGTAGGAAGCCTTTTTATTGCTTGTAAGGCAGTTTTTTTCTAACAGTGCCACCTACAAGGCTATATGGCAAACTGCAAGCAAATAAGAAAAAAGAGGCTTTTGTGTGTGGCCACAAGAGATAGGGGCTTCATATTCATATATGAATACAAAGCCTGCTGGCACAGATGGTCGGTTTGATGAACACCCACCGCCACAACCTGCAGGACCATTTTCTGCACCTCAATCGCCACAGCTCTGCCTCCCTGCTTGCCCAGCCACTTCAGCAAAGGAGTGAGAGGACAAGTCTTTCTGTTCAGCTTGGTGAGCAGGGAGGCAGGGGGGCAGCAGCTGAGCTACTCCCACAATTGGGATGCAAAAGATGATGCTGGCCACACACACTATGCGGTGAGTGGTCCTGCAGGTCCTGGGGATGGGTGTTTATCAAGCTGACCACTGCTGCCCACAGGCTTTGTATTCATATACTGTACGAATATAAAGCCCCCATCTCTAGTGGCCACCTGAATCATACAGACCTGAATTTCCTGCTGCAACTTCACAGCAAGTGAATGCAAGTGAATTAGCATTTCCCATATTGTGTAGTTGAACCCTTAGAGTGCATAATAAAAAATAAAAATGGTGACTGTGTAACTAGCATCAATTCACCACTGAGATATACTGTACACCATTTGACATACGTTGGAGCATGTGAGTAAAAGGATTTAGTCATTATATATTATTTCCACCTTCCCACTCATTTTTCTTTATTGGTATTGCAGTGCATCTTTAACAATGTAGTTGGGCCAACTGAGAGAATCCTACTAATGAGCCACTCCATTTTCTGCGCAAAGTTTACCTGCAGGAGAGAGGATGCTTTGCTCTTGGAGTTTAAGAAGGCTCTGCTGCAAATGTTGGGGATGTTGCAGTGTCTGCTGTTGGAACCTTGTTTCTGGTGATGTTTGAGATGGCACATTCGCAGGTGAAAGGGCCCGAATTCGGGGAACAATCGTGCAAGACATCCTGGGGCGAAGCAATGGCAGCTGATGGGAAAATAAATTTAAAAGGCCATTGACATTGTCTAGACACTTTTTTCAATTCATCATATTAAAGTCTGTATTTCAAACATACCCCTTCAATCTGATAGAAAATACATCTTAAAGGATGCATAATTTTGGAGGAATGTTCATGGGCAAGATTCAGAATACTCACGCTTTCATAAGGTAGCAGAGGAACATATGTGGTTGTCTATAATTGAACAATCATCTCTGTGACAGCCAGCATCCTTCCCTGCTTCCTGTACTGCAGTTAAGGCCCAGGGCCTCAGGGGAAGGTGTCATATGGTAGTTCCTCCCACAAAGCTATTTTTTTGTTTATTTGTTTGTTTGTTTTTAGATCAAGATGTGTGGGCAGCCAAGAAGGCTACAGAATGAGGAAATGTAGCACTGTTGGCTATCTTGCAATGGAATGGAAAGTTCAGAAATATAAACAAATGACATTCTAAAGGCCCTCAAATGAGAAGTTGAAGTCTCTTTCATGGAGAAATTGACTGCAAGTTACTAAACTACATTAATTTTAAACACCCCCCCACAGCTGCCCTCCCTCATGCCTACTGTAGGACTTACAGGGGAGCAGCTGTAATATAAGCAAATGCAGTAGAGATAAAATGTATCACCAATAAGTGTATGAAAATGTTGCATTGGAAAGGCCCGAGAAAGATGCTGGACCCTCAAGAAGGGCAACAAGACATGGACCAAAAGTTCTCAAATTACCTACAACACATTCTGGTTTTCCTTCCCTGATTTGCTTAGAAATAGAAGACCACTTTGCCAGATAATTTCCAAAAGTTCTCCACCGTTTTTTGGGTGGTTGCTCCTTGCCCCTCCATCACCCTGCCCTAAGATGAAATTAGGTAGGGGACAATATAGAAAAAGCAAAATGGGCGCAAAATTGTGAAATTGCTGCTTTGAATGAGGAGAAATTACCTTGAGTTGCTGTCTCCAAACTAAATCCTTTTTCCTATTTGCATTTTGTTTTAAGCATATCTCTGTGGAAAGATGGAGAAACTGAGATGTTTATATCATGGACATAAATGCTGCTCTCCAAACGAATGCACTGTTTGTGGTATCTGCAGTTAGTCCTTCATACATCTTTTCTATTCTTCTGTTTAAAGTCCTTTCTGACCTCAAGAAACAACACAGTCAGAAACACATGACTGGTACTTTTCATCTCTGCCATTAAGGTTATGGCCCATAATTCATACACCTATCTCTTTAAAAAGATTAGCCCATACATTAATATAGATGGTAGATCAGCCACCTTTTGTAGAGAGGGTGATCACTGCCCCTTCCCCATATGGAGACAGCACCAGCCCTTGTATCTTCAGGTGGCTGGATGGTCTTCCAGCATCCCAGCATGGAAAAATTGCCAAGATCTGCTTGGTTTCCCATTAATTTTGCTTGGCTATTAAATAAGCTTTTATATGTGATGGTAAACAATGCAAAAGAAGCCCCTGGACCACAATGGTAAACAATCTTAAATATGAAGTAAATCCCACAGATTTCTTTGAGTGTAAAATGTCATTTCCATATAAGTGACTACTTTGTAAAGTAACTTTTTAAAAAAAGGCCCAAAGCTGATTACAAGCTTTTGGGATCACAGGCATGGATTAGTCAGACGTGTTAAAAAGGGGGAGAATCAGGAGAAGAAATGCAAGGGGTGGGGGACTAAATATATGAAAGTCTTCAAGTCCCCTTCCTATCCCAGTTGTGATAGAGGAAGAGGTTGATATTCATATATGGTGTTCCCAGATGACTTACTACTGGTATTGAACTGCATCAGGAACTGGCCACTCTTCCAGCTAAGAACAAAGAAGTGAGGGGAGAAATATAGGAAATCCTACAGGTTTTGAGCAGGCTGGTACACAATTTTCCCGCTGATCACATGCCACAATGGGAAAAATGAATCAGCCTTGAGTCCCACACCTTTAATTCATAGCTTTACTTTTTCACCATAGACCATTCTATTTTTAAAAAAGTTGAATTCTTTCACCTTGGTGTGTGATTGCTTTGAACCAATGTAGACAGGAAAGACCAATCGAACACACAAACAAACACACACACAAAGAGAGTGTTTCTTTGGCAAAGAACCTTCTCTCTTACCTCATGAGCTAGGAGCTTTCTCTGCAAAGCCTCTCTCCTAAGACACGTCTTTTCTTTCTTTTTTTACAGCTTCTCCTGAGTCAGCAGAGCTATTTATTTATTTGTTTTATAGTTTAAGTAGCTCCCCAGTTGGCAAGATAAGAAAATTGGTAATTGGGGAAGGAAAAGCCTTCTCAGAGGCAGTTCCTTTGAACCACACCACCTATAGTAGCTTCAATGGAACCGGAGCAGAACTGTAATTAGAGGGCTCTTGCTTCTTTGCCTGTGTGGCCACTTATATCAAAGAGAACAGAACGTCTGGGTGTGACTTCACAGCAACAGAATGAAAGTTAATTCACATTTTCCTTGCTGTGTAGTAACAACATCCTCCACTATTGCAAACATGAAGTTCAGCTATGAATTTTGGGCTGTCCTTTCCCTTTTCTGTAAGGGGCTGGCCTTTAGATTTTCCTGTTTGAAGCTTATGGCGCCTTGTTAAATGGAGGTCAGGCATTCACTGGGCAGATTTCATATTAACAAGTCCGGGGATAGTTTAAGATGTTGCACAGAGTAGAAAAAAGTCAAGTGTATGAAACTGGTAGCACTGTAAGTGATTAAATGCTCAGCTCCCAGTACTCTGTAGTTCTCTCTTCAAGGCCACTGCTGCACAACCAGATTTGGTATCTTTCATGCAATGTACTTTTTTAGCCCTCTTGCTATATGTGTATGTGTTTTCTTTTGCTGCATAAAGATGCTTAAGATTACTTTTGCTGCAAAAGATGCCACCTCACCTGCATTTCATGTGTTTTTGGCAGCAATTAATTTATTGCTGGTAGCAAAAACCAGAGGTGGGAAATGGAAATGAAGTTCACCTAGAAATCATTAGCATTGGCTCAGCTCTCCAAGCAAAATAACAAGAGAGAGAGAGAGAGAGAGAGAGACAGACAGACAGACCTGGAAGAAGTCTCAGTGTAACAGGTTTGCCAGGTCTGTTGACTGAAGACTGTTATTAACAAATGGAAACAGGAGACAGGGAGGAGAGGAGGAGGGCCATCCAAACCTGATTCAGAGTCGCTGCTGTCAGAGGAGCTGGAATCATTGCTGATACTCTCAGAATCAGAAGAAGTGCTACTGCTGGTACTACTACTGCTTTCACTTAGCCGGCTTGGCCCTCCAATCGTTTTTGGTATCGGATAACTTTCAGCTGTAGGACATGGAGGAAAACTGAATAAACATTTGTCTTAGGAGTGGGGAAGAGAAAACAAGCAGTGCCATAACTGGCCCTTTTGTTTGAGTTGCCAGAAAGTACATTTCTCCTATTTCCATGTTCCTTATTGAGGATGATTTTTTTTAAAAAAAATCATTCTAAGAAGAAGTCAAAGAAGGTCTTCCTGCTGACATTGTCTGATTCACTACAAGTGTTCTGGCTGGGAAGGAGGAGGGAATGCCTCTCAGTTGTACTGCTTGCTAGGAGTCACCTCGCTGCTCATGGGAATTTATTGAGAGGCTCACCCTATTAAATCTAATATGTAAGTAGAGAAATTACCTTTCCCGTGAAACAGTGAAGTGACCTCCCACCAGCAGTGTGTGACTACACGACTGGACAAAAATTGTCATGGGGAACCTTTAACCACCCTATTAAATCTAATAAGTAGAGAAATTACCTTTCCCGTGAAACAGTGAAGTGACCTCCCACCAGCAGTGTGTGACTCAGGTGGTGTTCCCTTCTGTGTGCCAACAAAAACACATGTAGTGAAACAGATCATGGCAATAAAAAGACCCATTTTTTTGCCTTCTTTCTTCTCTTTCTGCCCCAAAAGTCTGCCTGGAGGATTTTAGGTGACTTCTGGGACTGAAAGTCCTGGAAATGTGAAACTCTTGTCCCTATTTTCTTTTCAGTCAATCCTGTTACTGGAGAAGTTTACAAATATGATTGCAGCATCTATTCTCTTTATAAGAACTCCATGCAATTAGTTTGCAGTCTGTATTTCAACATATAGCATTCACGTACATGTAGCACTTTGCTTTTGAGAGTTGAGCTGTCCATTGACATCTACCAGTCTCCTTTCTAATTCTTGTTTCTTCTCAAAATTAAGTTCTTCTGTTGATTTTTTCACTGCACATGGGAGAGGAATGAAAAATAAAATATGAGGAGCCAGATAACCCAAGAAATCCTTTAGAAAAAGATCAATGCGTTTTTGTGTACATTACATACATACACACCATAATATTTCTTGGGCCTTTTTCTCAAACAAGTCATTACATATTTCTCCAGTTCCCTTAAAGTTGATGCTTTTAGAGTTTCAAAGTCTATTTCTATTTCATCGGGATTTGAGTGTCTCAGTGAAGGTTCCCTTGACTGAATAATACAGACCACTCTGCCAAGTTTTTCTCCAGGGAGCTTATTTATGTCCAGACTTAACTGCCTCTTTTCATCATAACTCATAGGCTTGGCATTATCATCATTTTCAGACTGGTATGCTGCCTCCTCTTGCTGCTTGATTTTCTTTGAACGACTGCAAAAGAAAAACTAAAAATGAGTTAATCACAGTGCCAAGAGCTTTGAGCACCATTTCACACACACAAGCAATCTTACATGTTCAAAGACATTTTCTTCGTCAGCTTCTTCATTTGCTTCATCCTTCTCTTCTTTTGATTCCCAGACTTGTTTTTGACTTTGCTACTCCTTTTCTCCTTCTTAGATCTCCCTTTCTTCTTCTTTTTCAGTCTGGGTAAGGCTGTTTTAGCCAAAGCTTGCAATTGCTGATGAACAAGAGTAAGCTATTACAAACAAACAAACAAGCAAACAAACAACAAACAAGGAAATCTACTGGTCAATACAAAATATTTGCATGCATTTTTAAAGTTGAGTTCTATGACCCTTTCTACCAAAGATTTAACTAAAATAAAATATGAAAAAAAACTAGCATTTTTGTCTAAAAGGGAGAGTGATGCAGATCTTTTTCTACATCTATTGATTTATTTATTTTAGGAAGGTAAGCAACTTGATAGCACCTTATTTGTGAGTAACATAATGTTTAAAATACTGAAGCATTTCCATCTCAGTTCTATCCATGCAGGTGCCTAATTTGAAATCAAAGCAACAGAACTTCTCTTTGTGGTTAACTGTGGTAGACCTGCCTCCATTCACACTCTTGACAGTTAATTCATCACTGTGTGCAGTCATAAGCCAGTTTCCAACACCAAGTTATGGATTGCAGCCAATAAAATAAAGCAACTGATCTAATTGACAAGCTAGCTAGCTCCAGAAGACTTGCTTTTCCATCAGCATCAGCTAACAAAGATTGTAAAGAACACACTATTTCCTTACTCGTTGGGTAGATCTAAGACATTACAGTGGAGTCTTGACTTGAGAACTTAATCTGTATTGGAAGGCGGTTCTCAAGTCAACACTCTTGACAGTTAATTCATCACTGTGTGCAGTCATAAGCCAGTTTCCAACACCAAGTTATGGATTGTAGCCAATAAAATAAAGCAACTGCTCTAATTGACAAGCAAGCTAGCTAGCTACAGAAGACTTGCTTTTCCATCAGCATCAGCTAACAAAGATTGTAGAGAACACACTATTTCCTTACTCATTGGGTAGATCTAAGACATTACATTGGTTAAGCAGATCTGGTCTGTAAGTCAAATCTCAGTCTGCAAGTCAAACCTAAATTTTGTGGCCAGAGAAGTCTGTAACTCAAAAAGTCTGTAAGTCAAGCTGTCTGTAAGTCAAGGGTCCACTGTACATTGGTTAAGCAGGAAAGAGAAGGAAAGAATTCTAGTATGCATACATAGCCTGTACTTGTGGTTTCATTGGTCTTTTTATCTAATATTAATTGTTTAATCTTTGTTTGTGATAAACTATCTAGAATAATGGATGGTGGAAATCTCTCTGTGTGCTTAATAGCATCTTTGCAGCTAAGAAATAAAGAGAAGCACCATTACCTCCCCTTTAAAACATTCAGGGAGGGGGCAGTAGCACTTCTCTCACACACACCACTTAACTCCTACCACAACAACAGCACTCAAGAGTTTGGTAAGAACATGAACACTGCCACTTACTTGATCCTGGAGCTCTGCGAGACGTCTTGCCCTTTCTTCTTCTGAGTCCTCAGAGGAAGCCTCACTGCTGCTTTCGCTGGAAGTAGACACCGTGGTCCTTGTAGTCGAGGGCAGCAGAGGCCTATGTGAAGCTGGCTCATCTGGAATTTTGGCAAACTGCATCTCAAATACATCCTTAAGAGAAGAAAGTGAGGTGTCTTTTAAAAATTATCCACGTTTAAAAGGTGAGTTTACTTTAGAACAGGGATGGGAAATGTGTGGCCTGCTAGATTTTGTTAGGCCGTGACTCCTGTCATCTGCCCTTCCCATTAATTGTGGTGACGAGAGCTGATGGGAGTTACAGGCCAGCAGCATCTGAAGGGCCATCAGTTCTTTCAGCCATACTTAGCAGCTGTAGAACATGGACACAAGACCATACGTTGCATCAAGTCACTGTACCCTTACTAGGATTTCAGGGAGGATGAGGATGCTATTACATTCATGACTGACCAGAATGCTGGATTAGGTAGGCCTTTGGTCAGACTCAGTAGAACTACTATTATGTTTTTAAATGCATATTTTACTGTCAACTACCCATTTACCTGAAGTTTCCTTGCCATTGTCACGACCTCCTGGTCTGGAGAGTTGTATCTATAGCAGTTCATAAACATTAGCCTAACATCAGCAGCAAACTCTTGCGTGTCTTTATATTCATAGTTTTCCATTTTCTTCTGTGAATCAGAGAAGGAAATAAGAATTCTGGGATTCATGTCTGATGCGGTGCAACCAAGACCAACCATTTAAATACTATGCATGTAATTATTCTAAGATCAGAGGTTTAACTTATTATTGGCCCATAAACCTGCCTGTATTTTAAGTTCTAATGCTTTTCCACAACAATACTTGTTTCATGAAGTACATCTTATTTATCCATTACAGATCTGTATCTTGCCTAATTGTGTGTAACTAGCACATATCTTCTTTGAAAAGACCTACAAAATCTACTTGTTTCTCCAACAGGCATCGGCTATCAAAACCCATTATGATTCACCCATACCCTCTCATCTACAATACCACAATATCTCAATTCCTGGTAGAGTTCAGAGAATTTATTTTTTGGGGGGGGGGCAAAAAAGGAACCCACATATGCTGGGGTTTTCTGGAGGTTATAGTCCAAAAGGTGACTTTCCTAAGCTATGGGATGTTATTTGTTTGAATGCAAACAAATAAAGAACCTGCAGGTAAATTGCTAGCATTTTGGGAAGAAGGAGCAATCCAGACTTCTTACTGACATTTACTTTCCTGTGTGCAAGGATCTGTTGGCTTTTGCACAGAACAGGAAATAAGAAAAACGTGCAGCGCACCTAAGAGCCTTAAATGTGAGGGTCATGGAAAAAACTTCATTTCTTGACTTTGCTGAAACTGACAATAAGTAAGAGAATTTTCAGCAAGGCAAACCATGCCTTAATACATCTATAATCAATGAGCTGGTGTGTTTTTAGTAGCTTTTGCTGTTGTTTTACATTCTGAGGTCTTATAATATAGCTCACTTTTTAAGATGTAGTCTCCAATCTGGATGGTTCAGAGAATCACTTTAACACCCTATCTACCTACTTGCATGGTGGATTTGTTTACTGTTCTGTACTGTGTTATAATAATTGCACAGTTCATCAGACTAGTAGCAGAACAAAGAAATCTCATGATGGGTCCTACAGAGAAGGTACAATCAATGTACAAGACTGGGAGAATAGAGAAATGTGAGCGGGGACAGGTGTATCAGAGGGTTTGATACGAGATGAACTATATTTTCTATGCCCAAGCCACTTACTTTAATAGTTCCAAGATCCATAGGACATTTAATAATATCATGATAATCTTCAAGTCCCAAGGTTGTAACATCTACTGCTTCATAAAAAGGCCAAGCATATGAAGCATGCTGTTTTGAAAACATTTCTGTAAGGATCTCGTTACAGTATTTTAGTGGTTCTGTTAGCTTTATGTTTTTTATGGGTTCCAGTGGTTGCCAGGAGCCTGATGGGCCTCTTTTCAACAGGGATTCTTCACACTCTTCTCTGGAGGAGGTCTTTGCAATTTTGGGTTCATTGGGTGCTGGAGAGGATTCACTGCTTGCTGGGATGTTTGCAGTCGTAGTGTCGGCCTTCCTTTTCACACCCTTTTCCAACAGAGAAGCACAGGTTTCAATAAAGTAGGGAATTGCAACATTTGTTTTAGAAACCTTTGGAACAAAACAGCAACCTTTAATCTAACTATGGTTCAGATGGACCTGAGGTATCTTTATGGAACCAGTACTTTTCACATTCCACAGAATGAGATACTTTCTGAGATTTTTAGACACTGGCCTGCAATCTTTCAAAGCCCATTTGTGTCCTATACCCACTTAGGACCCCTCCAGACAGGTACATATATCAGTATCTGGACTGCTGTTGATGCAGTTTGATTTGAACCAAAATGCTTGATTGGCACATATTTTTACTTAGACAGACCCATCTTGCCCCTTTAAGAGCCACCCCTCTCCTTTCTGGTACAGGGCCAGGGGCTTGTTTTTTTTTGGGGGGGCATGATTCTAAGTGCTCCTAATTATTCTGTTGTGTAGCCTGTTTGCCCCCAAATGGAGCTGTAGGTGGTATTATCAGAGGCGACAATCCTTTGATGTAATAGATAAGTTGTTACACTAAAAGGGAGGATGAAATAAACCCTTTCCTCTGTTTTCATCTTATTTTTGAAAATATTTCCCTAACTGATGCAGTACAATTCTAATACCATGCTCGGTTGATGCACTGCTCTTCAGATATGCCTCTTATTTGATTTAACAACAACAACAAAAGGATAGTCACTGCACTTCACTGAATGAAGGCTGCAAGAAAAGGTGGGGAAGGGGGCTATGTTGACCCCATGAGCTCTGCCCCCACAAGGCAATGCAGCCCCAGCAGAATCCCGAGAAGAAATACAAGAAAAAGGGAGGTTATTGCCCATCTCTCTTCTTAACCTTCACCCCAATATTTTCCCCTCATGCCGGTACCACTGCCTTGAGCCTGCTGCTGTCGCCTCCTTACTCATGGGTAAACAATCTTAAATAAACTGATGATCTAAAGACTTGTGTGGGCCCTTCTCACAGAATAAATAGGATTGCTCAAGTGAAAGATAAAATAGATTGCACTGAAGATAATAACCTTATGGCAAAACGTTAGGAAGAACACCCACCACTCACAGTAAGAAAGAGGCATAATCAAAACACTGGTAGACCGTGCAAATCCAAACTGTGAAGCTCAGTTTCTTAGCACTGAACTCAACCATCTGAATTGGGCCCTATAGGCAAATGGCTACTCCAAAAATGAAATCACAAGAGCCATCAAACCAAGAAAACAACACCGAACTGAAGAAGAAAAACAGCCACCCACAAATAAAGTATTTCTGCCATATATCAAAGGGGTCACGGACCGCATGGGGAAACTTTTGAAAAAACACAGCCTACAAATAGTATTCAAGCCCACCACAAAAATACAACAAATGTTACGGTCAGCAAAGGACAGAAGGGACCTCCTCACCACTGCAGGAGTATACTGGATACCTTGCAGTTGTGGCCAGGTATATATTGGAAGCACAAAACGAAGCATCCACACCAGAATCAAAGAACATGGGAGACACTGCAGACTAAAACAACCAGAAAAATCTGCAGTAGCTGAACATGCCCTGACACAAACTGGACATGAAATTCTATTCCAAAATACTGAAATACTGGACAATGCCAGCAATCATTACGTCAGACTGCACAGGGAAGCCATTGAAATCCACAAGCACCAGCAAAACTTCAACAAAAAAGAGGAAAGTGTGAAACTCAACAAAACTTGGCTCCCAGCTCTCAAAAATAGTGTGCAAAAGGTCAACGAACTCTACCCAGCCACAAGGACAGGGGATCACTACACACAAAAGACCAGCTAATGACATCCATCAACCACAGGAACAGATAATCTCTTCTCCTTAGCACAACAATACACACTAATCACCCATCTACAGAAAAAGACAAAAGCCTATCCTACAGCCATAAATACTGCACTCCCAAAGCCAATTACACCAGAGCACAGAGTGCTATCCTCTGAAGATGCCGGCCACAGAGACTGGCAAAACGTTAGGAAGAACAACCTTCAGAACACGGCCAAAGAGCCCAAAAAACCCACAACAAACATTATTTCAAGAAATTTTCCAGCAAACAACAAGTTGGAAGTATTCTTCGTCTTAATCAGTACCCTCATTGCTCTGGCAAGTACAATTAATTACAGTTCATTGGGATCAGATGACAGATTAACGATGGTTAATGTACAACAGAAACAGACACTTCCAATCTATTTCTTTCAACTGTGCTGGAAGAAAAAGCAGCAGGTGAGAAGGGCATGTGCATAAGTTGAAGTCTTATTCCATCTCACTGTCATAATGGTCAACCACAATTTAGCCTTATGTGCTAATTGTCTTATATTGTGAGTTGTCTAATAGCATAAAAGTCACTGGCAAAACTAATGTCCACCTGTTTAGGAGCTGCTCCATTCAGATGCTACTTACTTTTGTTATTGTTTCAGTTGCTGGAGTTATGTTTGACGCTTGAGTCACAGGCAAAGGTTCTGGGTCATGCTGATGTCGAATTGTCCTCATCTGTAACTGCCTAACTTTCCTAGTTGGTTTTGATCGCTGGCGTCGCTTAACCAGCTTGCTTCCGGTATCAGCTTGCTCAGTGACTTGAGAAATGAATTAAAATGGATTAGTGAACATCTTCTAATTGTGTTCCAAAAACCTAAGTGCTGGTTGTTCCCCTTGTACTTTCAGTTTCTTTGCCAGCATGTCTACTGCTGTAGTCTGATTGTCTTTATCACTGGCTGTATCTTGTTTTTAATCTAACGATCAGTACTAGGACTAACTAGTGAATCACAACTGTTGTAACATGAAAGACATATATAGCTACCACAGTCTACAACTCCTCAACCTAGCACAAGACTTGTTTCTGTAGTCTCCGATAATGACATATCCATTTACATTTAACATCTCTGATTGAGGAACCTTATTAAGGAAGGCTAGTCTCCATCTGCTCCAAGGTATATCAATTTATTTAGCAACAGCTTATCCTTTACTGACTTCTTACATATGGCACATAAACTATCACAGCAGTTATCATGTTTTGAAATTTTAATCCCATAGTGAATCTAGTTTTGCTTGTAATAGAAAGCTACTATCCAAGTTCTAAAGGGATAGAATCTGTGAACAAGAGTTTACTTGAACATGCTCTATATCTGTGGAGGTTATATGAAGCCTCCACCCCAAACAGAGCAGTACTAGAGATCTTCAAAAGGGGCTGAACTGTAAAGAACATTAGTACATGTGTGAGCATAGTGACAAAACTTCAAACACTTCTTCCCTGCCCCCAAAAGGGAACTAGGGACAATGGTTTTTCCAAAGACGACATTCCGAAGGGTTGATATCCTTAGTAAAAGGAACAGAGACAACAAAGTGCTGTAGCGTGGAATGCTCTTGGTCAAGGATTCTAGCCGACTATCCATGATCTCACCCAGGTAACTCTCTTCTGTTCTCACTCCCTTCTTCCCACCCCAGTTTTCCTTGTCAATAGACTGATATAATTCAATGGCCATGGAACGTACTTAATCTGTTCTGAACTATTTTCAGTCAGGGACCATTTTTTTCAGGCAGAATTCCATTTCTGAATCTCTCTCTCAATACTTCTGCAAACTTGGGTTTCCTGAGATTGTTGACGCCCCCACGGGTGCACTTGTGTTCACACCCTGTTCTGGCTACATAACAAGCAGCATTCACAGAGGCATGGCAATCAGACAATGTCTTTGCTGGAGAAAACCAGCCCACCTCCAGAGTATTCCTACCTACACCTTTCTGGCCTCTCTCAGGGTCTTCTACTTTTTTTTGGTACTGCTAGGATTGCTCTGTTTTATTCCATTTCCAGTGCATGTGATTGCTGGAAATGAACCAAAGCAAGTCTTCCTCTTTTAATTTGGAAATACCATGAAGAGAGCCACTTCACACTATTGGCATATTAACCACTTCTCCAGTTCTGTAAAGTGACTGAGGAAGTGAAAAAAATGTTGTGTATTAGAGCAGTGAATATGTGCTATTTGATGTTTAGATGTTTAGTCATTTAGTTGTGTCCGACTATTTGTGACCCCATGGACCAGAGCACGCCAAGGCCTCCTGTCTTCTACAGCCTCCCAGAGTTTGGTCAAATTCATGTTGGTAGCTTCAATGACACTGTCCATCCATCTTGTGTTCTGTTGTCCCCTTCTCCTCTTGCCTTCACACTTTCCCAACATCAGGGCCTTTTCCAGGGAGTCTTCTCTTCTCATGAGATGGCCAAAGTATTGGAGCCTCAGCTTCAGGATTTGTCCTTCCAGTGACCATTCAGGGTTGATTTCCTTCAGAATGGATAAGTTTGATCTCCTTGCAGTCCAGGGGACTCTCAAGAGTCTCCTTCCTGCACCACAATTCAAAAGCATCAATTCTTCAGC